TAAAAAAAAAAAAGAAAACACACAAATATATTTGCTTGTCTCTGCTGAGACTATTTGTAGACTTATACCCAAGGAAGCAGTGATTTTGCCTCCAGAAGAAAACTGGGTGGCTAGGGGACAAGAGAAGGCAGTTTTTTCACTATAGGTATATGCTCCCTGCTTTTTGGATTCTGAACCATGTGAATGTATTATTTTCTCTACAATAAATAAGAGGAGGGGCGCCTGGGTGGCTCAGTCGGTTAAGCATCCGCCTTGGGCTCAGGTCATGATCCTGGAGTCCTGGGATCCAGTCCTGCCTTGGGCTCCCTGCTCGGCGGGGAGCCTGCTTCTCCCTCTGCTGCTCCCCCTGTCTGTGCTCTCACTTCTCTCTCTCTCTCTGACCAATAAATAAATAAATCTTAAAAAATAAAATAAAATAAATAAGAGGAAAAAACCAAGTAGAAGAAAATAACTAATAAAAAAATCAGTGCTACGTCAAGGCCCCAGAATCCCAGCTGATCCTGTTACTCTAATCCCTCCTACACATTTTTGCCAACTATTACTCCTTAAACAGAGCTTTGATTTCTTTATGACCAGGACACAAGAACGAATGCCTGAACACAGCACAGCTGAGCAAACTCCTCCACTGTTGGCTCCGTGATGCCTCCTCACGACTATTTCCCACTTCAGTCCAGTGAACACACTTGCTGCAGATCCTCTCACCTCCATCCCTTGGGTCATGTGGTCTTCCTCTAGAAGACACCCCTACCACCACCCCTTCTGCCTCCTCAAGGTAGCCTGCCTTCCCCACTGGGGCTACAAGGGTCTCTTCCCTTCTCAGTCCTACAGCCAGCCCTTCTGTGGGGAAGACAAGTCCCTCTGCAAGAGTCCTATGTGACAAGAAAACAGCTATTCAGAGTTGCTTCCTACATGTTTACAGTATGACAACCCTGCTCACAGCCAGAACCTGGACATTTAGATAAGCACCTGAGCTTAGGATTCTTGCCACGAGTTCCTGCCTTGCTTTTCCTGGGGCACCTTTTAAAATAATCACTTAGAGTTGAGGCTGAGAAAAGCTAGTGACCTCCCCCTTGTAAGTAATAGGGGTGCTTGCTCATGGTCTGGGACTGAGGACTGCCCCTACCTTGGCTCATTGCCCCCTCCACACACTCACCCCTGCCACGTTTCTGGGATCTGCAAGTAATAAGTCTTGTGACTCCACTTCTTTTTTGTGAGTGTGCTGAAACTGCACCATCAATCAAAATGGCCCTAGAGTTTTCACTTCCCCCAATGCAGCCTATCTTTAAATCAGACCCTGCGGCTTTGAGTGGAGGAAACTTCTTTTACACTTCTTTTCTATTTCTGACACGCATTAGCACAGTACAAGGCACAAAATATGTTCTCAAAAATTCTGATGATTCACTATGCTGAACAACTCCCTCCAGGGGTCTGTGTGCTTATGATTCATTCCACCCTTCCTTTCCCTCTCCAATTCAGTCCCCTCCAGTGGCCGAAGACTCCTCTCTGGAAGAACAGTTCACCTGTCTTAGTACAGTGAAGAAAACCTCCCTTGGCTCCCAAAGCAAAGGCTTTGTCCCACAAGCTCCATTAAGACCACTTCTGGACCAGATAGTGAGAAAGGTAAGGAAGGTAGGGTTAGCTGCCAGGCTCACACAAAGACATATCACACTGGACCCAGAGTCCTGAGGATAATCAAGCATGTGTTTGACAAGGGTCAATAAGGTAAACAGTCCAAATTGATAAATTAAAAATATCTTGGGGGATTCCTCATTGACATTCTCCTCTCACCCAAGTAAATCCGAAACAAAATCCCATGACTCACTTAGAAAATAAGCTACTAATGGGGCACCTGGGCTCAGTGTGAACAGCATGTGACTCTTGATCTCGGGGTCATGAGTTTGAGCCCCACATTGGGTGTAGAGATAACTTAAATGAATAAACTTAAAAAAAAAAAAAAAAGAAGGGGCACCTGTGTGGCTTAATCTGTTAAGCAGTTGTCTCTGGCTTGGGTCATGATTTCAGGGTCCTGGGATCAAACCTCTGCTCAGCAGGGAGTCTGCTTCTTCATTTCCCTCGCCCTCTGCCCCTCCCCCACTCCTGTGCATGCATGTGTGCTAGCTCTCTCTCTCTCACAAAAAAAAAAGTAAAATCTTAAAAAAAAGAAAGAAAAGAAGCTGCTAGCAAAGGCAACCGACTCAGAGGTATATGCATAGAAGCTTCTCCTACAAAGAGCATTATAATGAGGGTTTTCCCAAAACATTTTGAAAGTTCTACATTCTCTTGATATATCCTGTTATTACTAATAACAATATATCCCAAATGAACACCTTCTTTCTCAAATAGAAGTGCTTGCTTACCTGTCCGTCTCTTAATCCTTTCTCATTATGGAACGAGCAAGAGTTTTCATTCATGACTCAGTCATCTGTTCAAGTGAGCTTTGTCCTTGGGCTCAGAAAGGAGTTTAATAAAGTCTGAGATTAGAAGTATGGGGACAGCCAGAGATCCGACTGCCCTACCTTTGCCTTCCTTCTTGGCAGTCATTCAGACTAAGAGTAAGTAAACAGTCCCCGTGTGCCATCACCAAGGCTAGGAGGTTTCTGTGAGTACTGAAAGAAGTCCCTGAGGTCTCTGAAGTCTCAGTCCTGTAAGAAAAAAAAAATTATGAAAGAAAAAAAAATTACGAAAGAAAACTAGTTTCATCATTCAGTTAAGCAAAAATGGGAATGGATGATAAATGGTCAAAACTAGCCAACATTCAGGGGCACCTGGGTGGCTCAGGAGGTTAAGCATCCCACTCTTGATTTCAGCTCAGGTCATGATCTCAGGTTCATGAGATCGTGTCTCCAGTAGAGTAGGGCTCCGTGTTTAGCTGGAGTCTGCTTCTCTCCCTCCCTCTACCCCTCTCCCTGTTCTCTCTCTCTCTCTCAAAATAAACACATAAATCTTAAAAATAAATAAAAATCTTTAAGCAGCTATAAACTTATTCCGAATAAATCAGCTGCTTTAGTCAAATGCCTAACTCTTACTTTCCATGCCACTGGTTGGAACAAACAGGATGCTAGAGGTCTGAGGGTTGGATCCTCAGTGTCCAGAAGACAGCAGCAGCACCACTCTTTAGTGGTGAGGTCTGGTTCTGACAATGAAGTCACTGGGATCTGGGGGCAGCTTATCAAAGGGAGGAAGCTAATGAATGGCATCCTGCTGGGTGGTCTTAGCTGAAGTGCTCAGGCTTTGCTTAGGTCTCAGACACAGGTTGGGTCTGGGGGCTTACAATACTAGGCCTGGTTCCTATGATGATAGATAATCAAAATGCAACACATTGCCTAGCCTTCTTCGGTGAACACCAATATTGCACATGTTGCAGCTGTTTAGTCAGTTTGGCTAACTCTAAGACAGTCATCCCACAAACCCACCTTGGGAAGAGGGCTGGACAGGCCCGTAACTTATTGTGGAGGAACTGTAAAACATGCATAACTGTTACAACAACAGTCTGGATCATAAGTGGGCAGATAGCCCACACACAACTGATGGCCGTATTTCACCGACTTGGATAACTTAGGAAGGAGGGTGGCCTCTCTTTGAGGTCAACCCCCGACTGTGGGAACAGGATCTGGATTCCCTAGGAATTGGCTGCCAGTAACAAACTGGAATCTTTGTCAGATGGTAGGATGATTTCCTAGCACCCAGAATGGGAATACTTCCTGGCTATTGGGCTGGAAATTTGGGTCACTGTAATTTAATGGGGAGGACAGTACCTGTCCTACCTTGGTCAGGTACCTCAGGAACTAGCTCTCTCTCCCTCACTGTGTTCTCTGGGACCTCAGCATCTGGTTCCCTTTCCTTGCCCTCCTCCTTGACCTCCATGACACCATATAACAAAACTCACACAGCCAACCTTGGGAAGGTGACAGGCAGGGATGGTACCAGTGATCTCAGGAAGCCTCTTCTGTTTCTATGTATGATATGAATCACGCAGCACAGAAACATGACCAACTTTACACACCTGCTAGTGCCTCAGTTCCAACTGGAGCTCTGGGGACTTCAACAGGGACAGTTACTATCTGTATCAGATAAAGAAAAGAGCAAAAACTCCGTCAAATAAGCCAGTAACGGAAGTTATGAAGTCATGCCCGCCAACATTAGGCAAGTTCCTTATAGTTGGGTCCAAAGAAATGGCCTTCCCATAAGGATGGGTCTTTTTCAAATTAAGTATGGCACACCCACTTTAGGCAAGGAGCTACATTAAGGGGTATGATTTTCAAACTTCTCGCTGGAGCTTCCACTCTCTGAATAGGTATTTCATCCAGACACTGGGTCCCTACTTTAAATACAAATGCCCACGTAGATCTGAGTCCTTCTCTGATCCTTTCATCAGGCTTGTCGCTGGGCGGTTCCCCGGCCTCTCACTGCCCCCACGGAGGGCAGGTGCCATGAGGACCCAGGTAGAGGCTTGGGGGCGCCGCCAGGCCCCCGCCGCAGGCAACGCCATCCCAGGCGAGCGCCGCGGCCTCGGGCAAAACGACTGGCCACCCGGAGGCACGGGGCCGGGTGCTCGCCGGCTGTGACGCGCGGATCTCAGCAGGAATCTCACTCCATCAAGGTACCCCGCCAGACTGGGGCTGTGTGGGTTCCGGACGGAATTCTCACCAGCTGGTGCGGAAAACAGGTAAGCAACTTGCCTCGGGTCATTGGGCGCGCCCAAGGCAGAGCGCAGACCAGAACCCTGGCCTCCTGGGTCCCGGGCGAGATTCCCTCTCAGGCTTGCAGCTCTCAGCCTCGTCTCGGCCGGGGGCGACCATCTCCACCCCACGCCCACTCCGCAGAGGCAGGGGTCCGCTGGCCGCGGCCCAGCACTCCCGAGCCGTGGCGTCTAGCTCAGGCCCCTGGCCACGCCTCCCCGCGCGTGCGCACGCGTCCCCACGCAGCCTCTCCGCCCCCAGCGCCCCGCCTTCTGGCCGCCGGGGACGCTTGGTACAGCCCAGAGCCGTACGAGCCGCCGGGAGGCGCTGTCCCAGGCCGAAAGGTTCTGGCTTATCAGCGGTCGAGGCTGCCTTCGCCTCCCTGCCCACCCCACCCTCGCGCAGAAGGACTCGGAGGCGAGGCGGAGTCCCTGCCGCAGAGGCTGGGCGCGGTGGCAGCGGACCCCGTCCTCGGACCCCGCCGGCGCCATGCGGCTTTCGCTGCTGCTGCTGGCCGTGCTGCTGCTGGCGGTCCTCTGCAAAGGGCACCTGCGGCTGTCCGCTGGCAGCACCCCGAACCCCTTCTCCGAGAACGTCAGGCGTCCCCCCGCGCCGCTGGTGACCGACAAGGGGGCTAGGAAGAAGGTTCTCAAGCGAGGTCAGCGGGAAGGGACCCTAGGCTCCAAGGCTGCCCTTGGGCGGCTTGCATTCCCCTTCCAACAGGGAGAGCTGCTGTCCACCTGGGCCTCAGTTTCCCCATATGTAAAGTGTTGGGAGGGCTTCCTTGCACCGGCAGGCGCCCCGCCTTATTGTCTGCTACCGGTGAGAACCTGTGCCCTGGCAGGCGCCGGGTCATAGTGGCCCCATGGGCGCGGTCCCGTCTGCATCCCAAAGTCACGGTACTGCCGAGAACAGGTCCTCGACCAGCAGGATAAGCAAGAGACCTTCGCCCCATTTGGTTTATAGGACCTTACCTTTTTCACTTGCCCTCCCCCATGGTTCAGAGGTGTGGAGGAGCTGCACATTTCTTCCAACTTGTGTGGGAAATTGTATTTTGTCCATCAAGTGATCTGACTAATTATGCTTCCTCCCAAATCATATGGTTGAACCCTGGTTCTAAAACTTTGGGAGAACCTCAACAGGATGCCTCAGGCTCAGAGCTGCTCCTTAGTCAACCAGAGTGTCTCCACACTCATCTTTAGGACATATTTTGGGGTTCCTCAAAAGGTTTAAAGAACGAGTTGTGCTTTAAAAAAAATTAGATTCCCGGGACCCTGGGTGGCTCAGTTGGTTAAGCAACTGCTTTCGGCCCAGGTCATGATCCTGGAGTCCCGGGATCGAGTCCCACAGCAGGCTCCCTGCTCGGCGGGGAGTCTGCTTCTCCCTCTGACCCTCTTCCCTCTCGTGCTCTCTATCTCTCATTCTCTCTCTCTCAAATAAATAAATAAAATCTTTAAAAAAAATAAAAATAAAAAAATTAGATTCCCTCTTTGATCTCCAAGGTCCCTCCTACTTGTAAATTTTAGAATTCTGTGTGACACATCTTGTGACACAGGCGGAGACAATACTATTTTAAGTGGAAAGACTGTTAGCCTGAACTTCCGAGATCAGGGTTTTAGCTTGAACTCTGTCACTAATTTACTGCATAACCATTCACAAGTCACTCCACTAATCTTGGGTTGTTCTAAAAATGAGATGACTAGTGTAACTGTTTTTCAAAGCAGTTACCAGTGATTTATCAGTGAGTCATGAAATCGATTTAGTGGGTTGCATTTCAAAATGTGGTAGAATAGAAAATATCAGAGTCATCATACATAGTTCTGGGAAGTACTGTATTGTGAAACTTCTGTTTCAGGTATTTATATTATATACTTATTTATAACCTGGGTTGCGATATAAAATGTGTTTTTCATGGGGCACCTGGGTGGCTCGGTCGGTTACGCGTCTGCCTTCGGCTCAGGCCATGATCCCAGGGTCCTGGGATCGAGCCCTGCATCGGGCTCCCTGCTCAGCGGAGAGCCTGCTTCTCCCTCTCCCTCTGCCTGCCGCTCTGCCTACTTGTGCTCTCTCTTTCTGTCAAATAAATAAGTAAAATCTTTTTAAAAAATGTTTTTCACTATAGGTTTTTCTAAAAGTGTTTGAAAAGTTTTTCAGGTTCTTTTGCAGCTTGAAAAATTCCAAATCTCAGTTCTTCCGGAGTGATCTTTAAAGAGCAGATTTGGTGTTGGAAATGCCCATGTAGCACCATGCACTGTCCGGTTTCATCTTGTTTAGGTGCTGACCCCTTAGTTCTGCCTCAAGTCTTCCCAGATATGAAGGGGTGGTACTATGATTTCTCAGCTCTATCCTGCTCAAGCTTCTGCTTCAGGATCTTGACGACCATCATAGGACCGGGCTGCTCCATTCGTGCCAACAGACCCCGTGTTTTCCTAAGGTAGCCAACTTGTGAATGGACAGCTCCACGAGCCGGCAGCCTGCCCACAACACTCTCCTCTGTCCCCCGTCTCCTTGTTTTCTTTCTTTCCTAGCTCTCTATCCACAAGTAAGTTTCTCAGCCTGTATTACCGTCAGCTTTCTGATTTTGTTTGTGTAGTGGTTTACGGATTCCTACTCTTTTTGATAGTAGGGAGAATCTCCAGGTACATACTGGTTTTGATTACATCAATTCAACTCAAACCAAATCACTGTCCTTAACCCGCAGCGGGTCCTGAGAATTTCCCAGGTGAATGGGTGGAGTTATTTTAGTCAGTTGCTCCATGCCGAACTCTCTAGAGTTTACTTGCGTTGTGTAAGCTAGCGGAGTCTTCCTTGGTGTCCATCTCTTTGCTCTCTCGCCGCCCCTGCCTGAGAAGCTCACCCTCCATCTCTTCCCTCTGTGGTAGCTTTCTCAGCCAGCCAAGTGCCTGAGAAGCTGGATGCAGTGGTGATTGGCAGTGGCTTGGGGGGTCTGGCTGCAGCTGTGGTTCTGGCCAAAGCTGGCAAGCGAGTTCTGGTGCTGGAACAACACAGCAAGGCAGGAGGCTGCTGTCATACTTTCGGACAGAGAGGCGTTGAGTTTGACACAGGTAAGGCTTATGTGGGAAGGGCTTGGGAGCGTGGCTTTATCTTCAGGAGGCTGGGGGCAGCCATCGTGGGAGGATCCTGGACACTTCTGTTGTTTTGGAGGCACCACTTTCTTTGCCTGACAGCCATCACCTTACCGGGTGCTGAACTGGGCAGAGATTTGGTGGTTTCTGTTGCAACTCCTCCCCACAGAAAGGGTGGGCAGCACCCTCTGGGCATGGACTCAGCCAGGCGGGACTACCTCTTTCACCTTGCTTCCTTATCCACCTTTCCAGGGGTCAGTCCCCTTATCCCTATGACACCTTGTTTTTCTGTCTCTCCCAATAGGAATCCATTATGTTGGGTCCATGCAAGAGGACATTTGCCGTTTTGTCTTGGACCAGATCACAGAGGGGCAGCTGGAATGGGCTGCCTTGTCCTCTCCCTTTGACATCATGGTACTAGAAGGGCTCAATGGCCGAAAGGAGTTCCCCATGTACAGTGGGGAGAAAGCTTGCATTCAGGGCCTCAAGGAGAAGTTTCCCCAGGAAGAAGCTGCCATTGACAAATAGGTAAAGCTGGTTAAGGTAACATGGACATGCTGAGGACCCCCTGTTTATTCCTGACAAGGCTGACCTTCTTCATGGGTGGAGTGAATGGGAGCCGTGGTGGGAAGGGAGGAACAGTCAAGTCGGCCCTGAACTCAGCCCTTACCCCTAGCTGGCCTTGGTGCCCAGCTGGGCCCTGTCTCTGGAGCCTGGACTCGGCGGCTGCCACTCTCACTCTGGCCTCTGGGGGGCACCCTGTTCTCCTTTTTGACAAGGCTGGCTTCTACCTCTGTGGTCAGATCACACCCTTTTTTACTTCCTCAGAGATCAGGTGGGATTTTTCAAAGGGAATTTGGGCAGGAAACTGAAAAGCAGAAAAGGACTTATCTGAATGTGGAATGGGAACGATTTTAAAAAATCCAAGTTCAGCCAGGGCTAAGGGGTGCTGGGCCCTGGTGCTGGGCTGATGCAGGCTGTTGGAATGGAGATTCTGTTACAGCGTTCTAGAGATGGGACCTGTTCTCATGGCTCATTTTTTCCCTCAGGTGGTGTCCCGTGGAGTCATCCATGCCATCTGGTTGAAGATGCTCCCGTTGCGCATAGCTCAGCTCCTCAGCAAGTGTGGGCCGCTCACCCGGTTCTTTCCATTCCTTCGTGCATCCACCCAGAGCCTGGCTGATGTCCTGCAGCAGCTGCCAGCCTCCCCGGAGCTCCGGGCAGTGCTGAGCTACATCTTCCCCACTTATGGTGGGGACTGGCTTTGGGTCCTGGGCGGCTCCTGGAGGAGGAGGGGCTGCCCTCTTGTCTCTCAGTCTTTCTTCCTGAGACTGCTTGGCTAACTGAGATGGAGCAGTAGATACCCAAGGTCTGCTGGAGCTTCTGGATGAGAAGTCTAGCCACCTACCTGCTGGACTCCCTGGTAAAACTTCCCTTCATCCGTGCCCTGGATGGTTTTCCTTTTCAACCAACAATGTCCTCCCTCATCTTGGCAGCATGGCACTTTGCAGGGAGGACATTCCCACTGGCCTCAGGATCTGTCAGGTGCCCTGTGTTTGGATAGAAACAGGCCCTCTGGCTGCCCTTAGGAGGCAAATGATCCCTGCCTGGGGATCATTTGGATCCTGGGATGGGTAGACTCAGGCTGCGTGCTTTTTGACAGGAAACTGTGTTCCTTTCTAAGTGGTGCTGCCGTTGGCGCTTGCCTCATCACCCCTTCCTTCTTTCTGTAGGTGTGACCCCCAGCCACAGTGCCTTTTCCATGCATGCTCTGGTGGTTGGCCACTACATAGAAGGGGACTTTTACCCCCGAGGGGGTTCCATTGAAATTGCTTTCCACACCATCCCTGTCATTCAGCGGGCCGGGGGCGCTGTCCTGACCAGTGCCACTGTGCAGAGTGTGTTGCTGGACTCAGCTGGGAAAGCCTGTGGTGAGAGCCCTGCATCATGTTCCCGGTCCCCGGGCTGGGGTGGGACAGCACTGGGGTGCAGAGACAATCAAGCACTTCAGCCACAAGGTGGAAGAACTGACCTCGGCGGGGGGGGGGGGGGGGCGCGGTTCAAGGCTGAAACTGCCCAGAGCAGGAGCTTGGGGAGAGGGATTAGTCTGGCGGTAGAAAGGAGGCAGGAAGGATAAAGGATTGACTCTTCTCCCAAAGGACAGTATTTAATCATTTATTCAATAGGTAAAAATAGTTATCTAGTAATCCATAACCTCATAGGGGCTGTGTCTCTGTAATCTTTGTAGATCCTGGCCCATAATGGAGGCTCAACAATTGTTTGTTCAGTGACGGAATGAATAAGTAACCTGGGCACTCCAGAGAGCAGTGTGGAGACTAGCAAGATGCCCTACCCTCAACCTGTAAATGGCAGGTAGAGCTGAGACTCTCGTTTGCCTGGCTCAGGTCTTTACTGCTACTTGCACAGAGAGTCAAAATTCCACTGTGGATGAATTCGTGAGACGGTGTATCCAGGGAAGGACTCTGGTACACAGAACGAACAGGCCATCCATGACTAGGGGCTGCTTAAAGAAGCATCCGGGAAGGAGACACAGAGAGGCTTGAGAGAACAGGGCTGATGTGACAGTGAACTCACCAGAGGAATCTTACAGGGAGGAGGAGGGGAGTGGATGGCCCAGGGCACAAAAAAAGAAAAAAAAAAAAAACCTAGGGGAAAAGGCCAGGAGCGATCTCTGAGAATGCATGTGTAGAAGAGACCAGGAAGTTGTCAGGTGATAAGGGAGAGGTGGCTGTCAGTTGTGTGAGATTTTCTCTGATGTCCAGAGCAAGTTCTCCTCACAGCTGAAGGAGGTCCATGAAGCAAGGTGGGTTGATCGGTTTAACTATATCAGTTCAGAATATTGTATTTTTCAGGTGCTAGGCGATAAAAGATGGAGATAAAAACCCAAGATGGCTATAAAGAAAATCTGTAACTCATGAAGTTTCCAGCCTCATAAGGAAGATCACTGAGATATAATTTAAAGTGTCAGAGGCACATCCTAAGAATGGAGGAAGAAGAGTAGAGGTGCTTGAGCCAGCTCATTAAGGGTGAGAAGAAGCTAGCCCGAGTATTTGGGATGTTATTTCAGGCAAGGGGAACAGAATGTGCAAAGGTACAGATGTATGAAAGAGCTGAGTATTTTTAGGCATCTGGAAGTAGTAGGTTGAACCCTAAGAAACTGCCTTTTTTATTTTTTTAAGTAGCCTCCACGCCCAGTGTGGAGCCCAATAGGGGGCTCAAACTCACAACCCTGAGATCAAGATCCAAGTCAGACGCTTAACCAACTGAGCCACCCAGGTGCCCCAGAAACTGCCATTTTTATAGGTCAATTAATGGTTGACTATCAGCTGTTTCATATGCTGCCCCCTAATAGTTTAGTGAGTGTGGCCAGAGATGGCGCTGGAGACATAGAAGGGCCCAGATCTTGGAAGGCCGGTATAAGACTTTGGAGTTTATCTTACAGAGGTTGTGGTGTCGCCAGAGACTTTCAGAGTATTTTGGAAATAGAACTCTGGCAGCAGTGAAGAAGGGCCTGGGATTCCAGTGGAAGGGTGTCAGCCCATGAGCTTTGTCGGGGTTCGTGTGGAGGTTTGTCAGGTTTGACTAAAGAAAAGGGGGCGCCCGTGGGACAGGGAGAGAGCCAGGGAAGGTAAGGGCAGGAGCGACTTGGGATAGGCCGAGAGTGCTCGAAGATGTTGCATTCGCTTTGCAGTTTTGTGTGGAGCCTGGCCCTAGGTGGGCTGGATGCCCAGGTTTGAGAACATGAAGTGTAGGCTGGGGGAGAGATCTGTGCAAAATCTGGACTTTTCTCTTCCTCCTGGAGTGCACAGAGCCTCAGCCAAGCTCTTGTGCCTGCAGGCGTCACTGTGAAGAAGGGTCAGGAGCTGGTGAACATCTATTGCCCCATCGTGATCTCCAATGCAGGACTCTTCAATACCTTTAAGTACCTGCTGCCTAAGAACGCCCGCTGCCTGCCAGGTAAAAGACTGGGCTGTGTTGCTCCTCTGAGCTCCCAGGAGCACCCCTCTGGGGCTAGCCTGACCAGCCAGGCTGGTGCTCTTTCTCCTCCTGGCTGCCCTGTGACCGCCCTTAAGCAGAACAGGTAAGCACGCGCACGCCGTCTCCAGCATCTGTTCCCAGCAAGGCCTCTGTGTTCAGGGGTTGGGAAGCAGCTTCCCTCGTATTGTATCACCCCCAAAGAGCCCTTGGTCCTTAGCTCTCATTCCATTCTTGGCATATTTACCCTCTCTCCCCTATAACCTCACCCACTTTGCCCTCCTCTTTCAAGGCTCCATTCCAGGTTGCCCATTTCTAGTTTCTCCAGATCTTAAATCATCTAATAGTTCATGATGGTCGGTAGCATCCTAAAGGAATATTTCTTGGGTTTTCACGAAGTTTGTGGTATGAATCCTGCTTTTTCCCTTAATTTCTCACTTATTTTGAGTGGGAAAGCCTGTTCTGACAGTATCAGTAAGGGAAGCTAAGGCCGGCATGGAGAAGAAAGTCTGGCTATAATTGTTGTGTGTTTTATTTGGGACCCAAGGTTATGCTTTTTTTTTTTTTTTTTTTTTTTTTTGCCTCTTTCAGGAACCAGCTCCTTATTAAGGCTGAGGCTGCAAGAGGAGTACCCTTCTGGCTTTCTTCTGTCCCTTGAGCTCTGGGCTTGTGCTTGAAATCTGGGGCCCAGATAACACTTAATGCAGTCATCTCCTCTGCTAGGCTGTGTCCAAAAATATAGAAGTCTGATTTGGGGGGCGAGGAGGCATAGCTATGGGTGAGGGCTTCCTTGGTAAGTCTGTGCGAGAGGCTTTCCCTTTGTCATTGCACATGATCCTCATTGCCACCTGGGGGAGAGATGTCATCATCCTACTATTTATGCAGGAGGTAGAGAAGTGAGGTGAAGTGACTTCCCAAGGCCACCCAGGTGAAAATAGCAAAGCTGAGATGAGAACAGTGGTGTGTCTGACTTGAAAGTCTGGGCTCTTGGCCCCCTCTGGACTAAGGAACATGGAGCTTCCAGAGACAAGGCCTCACTAAAAGGGGCAGGAGAGCAGGCCAGCCCACAGGGAACCGAGTAGCCGAGCCATAGTTGAGTGAGATGTTACCATTTTGAAATGGACTTTAGGATATCACATAACCAGAAGCTGCTGGTATGATGTGAGGACAGGAGGCTGGCTGGCTAAGAGGGTAAGAGACGGTTCTAGATAAAGGCCTCTGGCTGGGGTGGGAGGTGGAGAGTGAGGAACAGCTCCAGATGTGGTTGGGGTGGAAACCATGGCCTTCAGCAGTACATGGAGGAGCCCAGAGAGCAGTGGGAAGGAGCTCTCCACTCCAGAGGGTAGGCCTATGGCTGCTCTGGAGGAGCTGGGGAAGGTGGGCAGCAGAGTGGGTTCAGTAGAAAAGTGATGTCCTGGGTTTCCTCACAGGGGAGAGGGCAGGTGGCAGTTGTGATGGTTTCTAAGATATGAGCTGTGTATGACCGAAACCCAATCTTCTCATATCTTTGCCTCACTTAGCTGGGCCTCAGCCAGCATCCGCTGCCAGCAAAGGCCTCCTTTCCCTCACACTGCGTGAGCTGAGTGAGGTGAGGCTGACTGGCCAGTGGCAGGGCAGCTGGACAGGGCTATGTGGACTGACAGACTTTGCCTTTGGTACTTCCTGCCTCCCTGTCTCCTGGCCTCCCAGGCCCTCTGAACCCTGGCCCTTCCTCTGATGGGGTCCCAGTGCCCTCCCCCGTCCCTCCACGCCTCCTCCCCCAGAAGCCATGTTGCCCTCTCTTCACCATCCAATTCCAGTTACAACGTTTACTGCTTTTATGTCTCTTATTTAATGGCACCAGCCCCACCTGGCTAAAAAAACAATTGTCCCGCTTGGGTGGGGAGTTAGATGCTGCCTCAGATGAATCCCAGTTTGAGAACATTTCAGGCAGTGGCAGTGAGGATGCTTAACTCAGGAGACGCCAGGTGCTCGGACTCCTTTGTTTCCAGCTGCTTTGGGGGTAGGGATTCTCGTGGGTCTGTCTCCCTCTCAGAGACGAGAACCAGGTATCTGGTGGCCTCTGGGGCAGGCAGTGCCAGTTGGCGTCAAGTGTGGAGGAGGGGTGGTCAGGCAGAGGGAGCCTGTGTGAATGGGAACACTTTTCTTAATTCCACTGCTGAGCCTCGAGGAGGTTCCTGGGGATGGTTTGGAGGGGAAGTTGTTTGAGTGGGGAAGACTGTTCTGACAGTATCAGCAAGGGAAGCTAAGGCTGGTGTGGAGAAAAAAGCCTTGATATCATCTTTGTGTGCCTGATCTGGGGCTCAAGGCTCTGGTGTTCTGCCAGGTATGTGGTTCCCGGATCACATCCCTCTAGTTGGAGAAAAAGGAAAGCAGGGGCTGGGTGGAAGTAGTTGCTATTCTTAAGGGCCTCTGAAGACCTACAGGGTCTCACTCCCGGGCACCCCCTGCCCCGTTTTCTCCATGACCACTCCCACCGCACCCAGCAATGGGGAGCTGGCAGTGAGGTCAGCCCCAGACACTGGGATGCAGCCCACGGGTGCCCCTGAGGCTCCACAGCAGCCCTGGGCGCCCTTCTGTGGCTCCAGAAACCGGCGCTCCCCTTCCCTTGTCAGCACGCACCTGCGGGCCACCGTTTCTGCCTCACTTTCCGCCCACAAGTGGCCTCTTTGGCACGACAGATTCTATGCTCACCTGACACAGAGCACTCAGTTCTTTGTAGCCTCTATGGGGAAAGCCACCTTCTTTCAGGAAAGCCGCCTTTCCAGTAGACAGGCATCGTATCTGATTCCTTGTAGTGTCCCCAAGGCCTAGCAGAGGATTCGGCGCATTTTAGGTCCTTGACAAATCCTTGTTCAACAAATTAAGCAGAGCACCCAGTGGCCGAGTTACCCTTCAGGCAGGTGGTGGTCCTGGGGATGGGAATGAAGGATAAGACTTTGTGGGAGCCATTTCCAGAAAATTAGTCTGGGGTCATTTGTTGAGAGGTGGGGAAGCCCAGCTGCTTGTCTGGGGACATCAGATGGCCCTCAGAGAGGCTGTCACCTTCCTCCGTGGTGCTCTTCCCTCCTCCCCTACCTGAATCCTAAATGCCAGGTGTCAGTAATGTGGTTTGCATTTGTTCATCTGCATTGCTTACCATTGTGAGGTCTTGTACTGCCTGTACAGCATGAGGAATTACGCATATTCGTTCACTAGGTGGCCCGTATTAAATGTAATACGGAATCAAGGCTTATAACAAAGTAGTGTTCATACGTGTGGTCTGTATAGCGTGGAGCCCAGGAATCCACTCATAACTTCAAGCCATTAGGGGAAGACTGGAGGCAGTGAGCCCAAGACCATGCTGTAGCCCTGGGCCAGCTTAGGGAAGCTGGGCCTCCGGGGCTTCTAAGGATGCTTAGAGCAGAGGTGGGAGGAGGCAGACGCGTGGGAGCCTGAGGTTGGGCTCTTCACAGGCAGGAGACGGAAGAGCAGCCCCCCCCTCCCCCGCCAAGTCAGTGTTGAAATAACAGCTGTAAAAACGGCCCGGGTGCTAGGCCGGCCGCCGAGGGCCAAGCTGTGGATAAAGTGAGCAGGCATCTGCAAGTCTGGGGGCAGGGAACAGCCACCGCAGCCACAGTTCATGCAGCCCTCACACTTTGGCAGGGGTCAAGCAGCAGCTGGAGATGGTGCGTCCTGGCTTGAGCACCTTCGCCGTTTTCATCAGTCTGCAGGCCACCAACTACTTTGTCTACTTCGACACAGACCTCGACAAAGCATGAGGCGTGTGTGCCCATGTGGGGAGAGGGAGTCAGCACGGGCCCACAGCCCACAGGGCTCTTGCTTCCTCCCTTGACGCTGAACAATCAGCAGCAGGATATGGACTAGGCCTCAGCTTCATCCCTGGGTGGGGGGGCAGGGGGGCTTGTCCCTGGGGGTGACCTGGCCTCCAGGCAGTGCCGGTGGCAGCGAGGCCTGGGGGCCAGCAGCCATACTCCTTGCCCCCAGGATGGAGCACTACCTCTCGATGCCCAGTGAAAAGGCTGCAGCACACGTGCCCTTCTTCATTGCTTCCTCATCAGCCAAGGATCCCACTTGGGAGGTCCGGTTCCCAGGTGGGGCTTTGGGTCCTGGTGGGGTGGGAGCTGGAACAGGGAAGGGGCCTGGCAGGAGTGACCCTGGCTCTGTGTCCCCAGATCAGTCCACAATGATCGTGCTGATGCCCACCCGCTATGAGTGGTTTGAAGAGTGGCAGGAGGAAGTGACGGGGAGGCGGAGCAGCGACTATGAGACCCTCAAAAACTCCTTTGTCGAAGCCTCCCTGTCGGTTGTCATGAGGCTGTTCCCACAGCTACAGGGGAAGGTAGGCGGGTAGACTGTGTGCTAGTGGCAGCAAACCTCTTGGTGACATTTCCTTGTCTTTTGGGGAGGGAAACAAAGCCCGGAGACAGCGAAGCTCAGGGAAGGGCAGGGAACCCACTGCAGGCAGACAGCTCAGCCAGGGAGATCAGAAAAGGGAGGACGTGAGGATCTCACAAGGCCCCGCTCCCACCCTTTGGCTGCCTTTTTTGTCTCCTCAGGTGGACAGTGTGGCCAGAGGGTCCCCACTGACCTACCAGTTTTATCTGGCTGCTCCCCAGGGTGCCTGCTACGGGGCCGACCATGACCTGGACCGCCTACATCCCCACGTGATTGCCTCCATGAGGGCCCAAAGTCCCATTCCCAACCTCTACCTGACAGGTACACGGACTGCCCCATTCCCCCAGGGCCTGAGACCCTGGGCTTCCCTGTCACCCCAAGTACTGTTCTCTCTTCAGGTCCTACTGTCCCTTACAGCCTTCCACATGGGGATGGGCTGCCCCAGCAGGCTGTGGCCCCTGGTCCCGATCTAAAGTCATCTCTGGGTGCCCTAGCTTGGAGGGATGAACATGAGGAGCCCTCGCCCCCACCCCCTGTGAAGGATGCTCATGGGCCTCTGCCCTTGTCCCCTAGGCCAGGATATCTTCACCTGTGGGTTGGTGGGGGCCTTGCAAGGGGCCATGCTGTGCAGCAGCGCCATCCTGAAGCGGAACTTGTACCTAGACCTTAAGAAGCTTTATTCAAGGATCCAGGCACAGAAGAATTAGTTCAGTAAGCAATGAGTTTGAGGAATCCCACCGGACCTAGGGCACAGCCCTGGATGTAGCTATAACGTCTTTCTGTACCGGTTCCCTCCTCACATAAAACACTCTAATTTGTTTCTGACTAGAGGTCTGACACACAGGTCACAGTCCTTGGATCACAGTTCTCAAGCTGCGGCTCTTCCAGCTGGGCAGGTGGTGAGCTCTCAGACCTCTAACGTGTTGTCCCTGCTAAAAGGCCCGGTGTGGGCCAGTGACTTGGACAGCCTGTCTTGTCAAGCAGTGCTTTGCGTACCACACTCCCATACCTCCCAACTCCGAGCAGTCAGAAGTCAAGTATCCTTTTGGTCAGGTGGATGGAACCTTCAGTGTTGGCCAGCTGAAGCAGCTTGGTCCAGCTGTCTCGAGGCTTCTCCTCTTCCATTCTCCACGCTGCGCTGCAGCAGCTCCACACTACTCCTCGAGGATAAAGGGTGCCTGAAGAGGTTTTTGTCAAAACCTGGGCATGGTTTTACTTGTAGTTCCATTAGGTTCAGAGGCCCCCAGATCCCATTTTTGTTGGTTCCAAGGGCTCTTTCAGAGGGTGGGGAAATGCCTAGGATAGGCTCAGTGTGGTTGACTGAAGACATTAGTCAGCCAAGTATATGTTAGAATATCCAATTCATATACAGACAGGCCCTAGGTTGGTCTTCCTTATTTCCAAGGTGACACTGGGTCTTCACTGGGCCAGCACCAAGATACCCTCATGGAGCTCAGTACTGAGCCTCAAGGTTTATCTTCCAAAAATCCACAGCAAAGGGTGACATTAGCAGCTGGGGCACAGGACTGAAAAGATGACTTCACTGGGGTTGAAGCAGGTTGAAAGAGCATTCCCTGCCAAGGGTATAGTAGAGGACAATCACAGAGTTAACTGTAAGACAAATCAGCCATCAGCCAGCTACCTCCTAGACCCAGAACACGGGCGGCCTGGTAGGAAGGAGTGGGGCTGGAAATCAGGATCAGAATGTGGAAAGCTACAGAATGTCTGCAGAGGCCTGGGATGGTGTTCCTGTTTATTGGTACATATGTAGGGATTAGATGGGAAGGTGAACAAAGGCTTTTTCACTTATATCAGACCTTATTTCTGTCAATCTCATTACCATTTTAATAAATTTAATGATTTTATAGCTTTAATATTTGAAGTTTATTTTGGTTTCTGTGCAATGATACAAAACTACATTGAAATGGCATTCAAAGAAGCTCAGTAAAACATTATGTACTGAAAAATACTTATCATTAGACCAAATAAGCTTTAAAAAAATAAAAGTAATTATATAGTTAAGTTAAAGCTGAAAATATAAAACATTGCAAAAACAGTGGCACTCTACTAACTGGGTAAACAAAAAAGGGAAACACATTCAACAATCATTTATTAACATGAGAAACTTCTGAATTAAAGGAATATCTACGAGTGTGAGGAGGCTGGCTTTGTTGGCAGCCTGAAACTACACAGCTCAGACCTAACACCGTTAGAGAGGAGTTTCTCAACTGGGACATTTAGGAAAGTCACACGTGACTTGTGGGACTAGCTGAGTTGAGATTCAGTCTTTCTCTGGACGAACAGTTAAATGGAACCTAAAAATCTCTTCCCAGACCTCTTCCTTAAACAAGGCAGTGTCAAAGGCAACCTTCCCAGCAAGATTTTTCGGAAAACAGCTGGCCAAACTACAGGGTCTGGTGTCTGGTGTCTAAAATACTCTCCTCCCTGTTCAAATGATTCAGAACATGTGCAAAGTGTGCTAGCTTTCATCACATATAAATAACAGCATTATGTATCAAGTTACCCTGTAAAAACAAGGAGCAGGCTTCCTTTTTGTGATTTAAATGACATGAAGTAGAGAAAAACACGAGAATCACCATCAGGGGAATTAGAGAGGTTTATAATTCTATCACCAAATGTTTCATTAAAAGCCATCATGGGAAAAGAAATGTCGGCATATATATATATAGCTAGTTGTCAGGTCTTTCCGAGTTGTTATAGCCTTTCTAGATAGACTGGCCTTCACTCCCCTCCGAGTCCAGAAGTGGATCTTTCTTTCTTTTTAATTTTATTGTTATGTTAATCACCATCCATTACATCATTAGTTTTTGATGCAGAAGTGGATTCTTTAAATAATTCTACTCAGTAATCTGAGATCAGCTATTCAATTTCCATTTTTTCTTTGCAGAGGGGAAACAAACCCCTCTATTGACATCCATGACTAAAGCATCGATTCCTCCTAATAGAGATCACCCTGCAACCAAAAGCTGGGGCAGGAAAGCAAGCACACAGCTGTGTGGATAGGGGTGCCTCTCATGGCTCCATGAGCTTCCCTGCCCACCCCCCCTCCAGAGATGCCTTAGCCAGCTCATCCTCCTCCACATCATCTCTAGAAAACAGGCTTCCAATAGTTTATCTTCAAAAGGACAACTACAGAGAAAACAAGCTTTCCACTGGTGTGAGAGATTTCCTTCAGTGTAATTTCTAAAGCGAAACTTAAATTCTATCATACTTCTTTAGCACAAGATACAATACTTCTCGGATGCTCAAAAAATGGAACTATGTGGACTCCACAGAATACTTATTTTGCATCCACTTGATGCAAACCACCTCTTGGTTCCTGAAACCAACCTTTCTCCTCTCCTCCCTACAAGCAAAATCCATCAAAAGGGGACAGCAACCAGTAGCCAGGAAGAACTGTGTGAGACACCTAAGTCACATTCATATGTCCTGAACAAAGCAAATGTCTCCTTGACACTGAACTCCTGAAGAAGTACCTAGGGAATGTCACTATGGTGTAGGCAGGTATGCAGATGGTGCCAAGGGCACCCCTGCAAGCAGCTTAGTTTTTTTGGGAAGAGACCAGATAGAGACATCAGATAATGTCTGCCCCCCCTCTTTTTTTTTGCTGGAATCGCAAAATTTGTGACTGGCATTATGAAGAGTTATAGAGTAGAATGGAAAGAGCCAATCCTGTGTGGTGGGGGCAGTGAAGAAGGTGCCTGGAAAAACCTGAGCTGGGCCCTGAAGGAACATTTGGGGGAGAGAGGCGAGAGAAGAGAAGGGAGTGCACCCTAACCAAAGAACAGCCACGGGAAGCCAGGGAATGGAGGACACAGCAAGAACAAAAAGGCACAGAAGCCTAGATGGGCCTGACAAGAGGAGCCTCTGGCCTGGATAGGATGCAGATCTACAGAGGCCTGAACGCTGGAGTCTATAAAAGCTTGATTCTCTAAGCCACGAGAGGTAGACAGGGGAACCATGATTTTATGGAATGCTAGGAGAGCCTGACAGAAAATTCCCTAGACAAAGGAAAGCATTATAAGGTTGGTGCAGAGGTAGAGAGAATGATGCCAAGAGCATTCATTCATTCCTTATCTCCGTAAATCTCAAGTCAAAGCCATGCTCTGTTTTAAGCAAGGTACAAGATAATGTGACAACAGGCTGGTCCCTTCTACAGACTGGCTTCTTCAACAGCACAGAATTCACCCCACTGCCCTCACTTCCCACATTCTTTGTATCTCCCTGAGATCAGCTATTCGATTTCCATTTTTTCTTTGCAAAAACAACTCTCTCTAGGCTATAATAGGGTAGCACAACTAGGGCAGATTTAAGGAAAACTTCAAACCACAGCAGGATCCAAGACACTACCTCAGCTACCCCTGAATTTCTTAAATTTTAATAACGTCTGACATGGAATGGAAAGAGAGTTTTTACTAATTACCCTTGGCATTTTATATCAGATGAGAGAACCATTTACTAGATTAAGGTAAAAGAGAGTACAGTTAGTTTCTGATTACAAGTCTATTTTAGGCAACAAAGGCAATGCAGAGTTTATGGGAAACCTTCCATAAAAGCCCTTTGAAATAATGCAGATCAAAACCAAAACCGTCCCGCACATCTTATGCGAAGTCTGAGCTTACCCTATTTTAAAAAGTTTGTTACAATTATGAGTGTAGAAGAACAAAGTATTTCAATAATCATAACTGTATTTTTTAAAAAATCTATAATGGGAACCATGGCTTTACAGCTTTACTCCCAGAACCCCAAGTTCAGTTAGTACAACCAAATGTAAGTTGACTTTGTCTTAATATGAAAATATTGGAAACATGTGAAGGACTTATGCTAGACAGGTTGGACTTACAGACAGTAAAGCACTTTTTTAAAAGCTGTTTTGGTTTGCTGCTGGAGCCTCTGAAGAGAGTTATGTGTTAAAGTAGCCCTGTGTCCGTCAGCATTCACCTCTTCATCTTTTGCAAAGGGCACATCCCCCCAAAGTAAGAGGCCTTGATACAAGAGCACCTCATCCTGCAGAGTTTTCCTAGGTCTACAAAGATAAATAGTGGTGGGCACAATGCTCTTTTCAAGGGATAACTACTAAATGGCCAACGCCCTAGGGAAGGCAGTCAGCAGCAGTAGCCTGCCTGGGGCTGAGATCTCCCTTTGGTCACAGCTGGCTTCCCACATGCTCTCTTTATTCACAATCAGAGGAGGAAAGGATGGAAGACACCAGCAGAGATAATGGGGACACAGGCGTACAAGGTCACCAAAGTGCAGGTGCAAAAATCAAAGCAATTCCCCCGCCTCTGCCAGCCCAGACTTGCCACCAAATCCTAGAGGAGGAGGTGTCTCTTAGGTCACAGTACTTTTTTTCTTCATTTCTCTCGATTAAAAACAAATCAGCAGGGAGGACAAAGTTCTCAAGAATGGAAAAATCAAATCTGAAACGAGAGCAACAAAATTCATTGGTAACATTAATCTCCTTCCAGAGCAATATACCTCACTGCTATGCATTTAGGAGAAAAAAGATCTTATTGGGGTGCCTGGGTGGCTTAACCTGGTGGTTAAGCATCTGCCTTCGGCTCAGGTCATGATTCTGAGGTCCTGGGATCCAGCCCTGCATCAGGCTCCCTGCTCAGGGTGAAGCCTCCTTCTCCCTCTCCCTCTGCCCTCTTCCCCCTGCTCATGCTCTGTCTCTCAAATAAATAAATAAAATCTTAAAAAAAAAAAAAAGTCAGTTTGAAATCAAACATACACTAGAATGATGCACACTTGGTGGAAGGAATATAGGAATCTGGGCTTCTGCTTTGTACCATTCTGTGTTGTTTTGAATTGTTTACATGTGCATTTTTTAATTAAAAAAAAATGAAAAGGGAAATAAATGCTTAAAGTCAATTATCTGGAAAGGTACTAGGCCAGGGCTAAAT